CGCAAAACTTTTTTTTTTTGTCAATTTCATCCCTTTTCTCAGCACCAAGCCCATATTGATTAAAAGAATAAGTTTGGATACAATAAAATATTTTTAATCAAAGTGTATGAATGAATTTAAAATGTGAAATGATAAAAAATATAAAAAAAGGAAGTATAAAGATTTAGAAAAAAAACAAAGTGTATAAAGTAAATTAAACTTTTCAGTAAAAAGAAACATAAAGTCTAATAGTAGAATAACCTTTCGAAAGTAAATATCAATCTTACAGATGGTAAAACAATTCATTTACAGCTTTATAATTTCATCCTTTCTAACAACAGGTTGCTCACCAAATAAAAATTTAGACATATGTTTAACAGCTTTTTGAGCACCACCATCCCTTGATATAGGCCATGCGATGGCGTAATTATGCATATTATTTTCTTCGACCACAAATTCAACACTAACATTTTGGCTTCTAGCTTTTTCAACGAATAATGTTGCGTCCTCTAGGAATACTTCATAAGACCCCATACATATCCACATTTTAGGTAGCCCACGTAGATGTCGGTTGAATAACGGGGATATTAGAGGGCATGTTGGAAGTAAGTTAGAGTTACCTAGGTAGTTTGTTAAGCAATTCTCGAACCAAGTCTTGCTTATACAATCATCAGCATAATTTGTTTCGAATGTTCGTGAGGTGGTGAGTGCCTATTGTTAAATAAATTATATGAATAATGATGAAATAGGAGTGTAATTATGATAAAATTTGAACGATGATTTACCGAGAAACAAGGTGAGATAAGAAGCAAGCGAGATGGTGCAGGAGCAGTGTAGGACACTGGATTGTTAAGAAGTTCCACGGCAGCTACTACAGAAATGTTTGCACCAGCACTATCACCAGCTATTAATTTTTTAAGAATAATTTAGGAATAAAATAAGGACATATTATACTACGTAACTAAATATATATATATATATATAAAGTAAAATAAGACTATTTTTGCATGTACCAAAAACGATCTTGGACGGACTAATTCCTTTCTCGTTGACTAACCATTGATAACAATTCAACATGTTGTCACGTGCAGTTGGAAAAGTATGTTCTGGTGAAAGACCTGCAACAATATTACAAATTATCAAAATTGAGTTGTGAATTTTGAAATGGATTAATTATATTAGATGCTATAATACCATATTCTAACGCTAATATGTGTGTATTAGCCCCGTGACTAAACATCCATGATTTAATCCATTTAACGTAAACCACCAGAGATATCAAAGGCCCACCAACATTAAAACCACCACCTACGGCATTGCATAGGTGATGTTAATAAATTTGATAAATTTTTTTTATAATAAAAACGGAATAAATTGATTAAGAAATATCACCGTGCGCATATAAAATAACTATGTCAGCATTGTCGCCGACATCAACAGTATTAGCATTTTCAGCAATAAGGTATCCATTCCATCCGTCCCCACCCTTTAGTCGACGGCACCAATGATCTCTTTGCTTTCCTATATACAATCCATTTGAGATTTGTTCTACAACGCTTGCCAGATAGAATAAACACCTAACAATCCATAATGGTAAGGTTTCAACGATGGTTTTGATAATTGTGGCAGCTAGTCGTTGTTTTAAATCTGGAGGTGTTCGCTTTTGTTTGAACAGCAGAGTCGAGAGGTATAATAGAAACGCGAACTGGATTCGATAGCCTTCAATTTCAGAGACATACGTGTATTTTAGATCAAATTGTAGAATTGATTTTATATAACAGTAAAAGACATCTATTTTAATACCGAGTTTTATGACCATGTTTTTACTTACATAATAGAAAGATGCAGTCAGGAATAGCAAATATTGTATACATCGTCTCTTAAATTTTTTTTCTATAATGAATATGTGAAATAATAATTCCTGAATAAAAGTAAATTATTTCACATTAAATTTAAATTTTTCCAAGAAAATTACCTACCAAAAAAAAAAGTCTATCTAAAAATCTTGACTTTCATGTCTCTTTTTATAAAGCCCCTGCCATATGAAAATTAAGAAAATCGTAACACAATAAGTGAAATCTCGACCATGTTTAGGACCCAAATAAGGACTTGGAAAAGCACGAATGATAATCAACGAATTCATTCCTGTCTTAGAAATTTTCAACTGGAAAATCTTTCAAAATTGGAAATAGTCAATGGATCAGGGCAGTGTATAAGATCGAACGTGGGCGAGTATGGGACGTGCCTACATACTTTTAAAGCTAATTTTATGCCGGATCAATCATACCGCAGCACTGAATTAGGGAAAAATCCGATATCAATATCATTCGTATGTTTAATTTCTCTTCGAATTCTTTCGAATGGATATCATAATCCCGTGTAGTATGTGTCATTGTGAAAATATTGCTGCTGCTGTTTGAATGCGTCATTTGTAAAAGTGTTATCTACCCATATCAATATCAATTTCTGGCAAAGGCGTTCCTTAACGACTTGAATTAAGTTTTGTGTGACTTGATAATGTCTCGGTGCATATTGCCATGCGTACGTACGTACGTATGTACGTACATAGGTAGATATTTACAAGCTGGAAAATTTCATTCACTAGTTTCGCAGCTACATAACGTCTTGAATATTAGCGAAAGTGAAGGTTCGTTTTCTTGTGCGCATAAGACCCGGGAGATTGATTAATAACCCTTGATCTTATATAGTGATCGTGTATTAATCTCCTACGTATTAAAGGGTCTCGAGTAGAGGCATAGTAAAATGATATTATGTAATACCGTTTGTCATCTCTATTGCTGTAAGAATTAATTTCATGAAAAGCCTGAAACATTAAGGATTAAATATGCTGCCGAAATTCATAACTTGATTAATGCAGAAACACATGAATACGAAGACGAATTTCTTTTATAAACCTGCTGTTTTAACACTTTAATTAGACAAATTTGCACTACTGCCGAATGTGTATTAAATTATATCAAATAATATCAATATGTGGGTTTATTTACATTGATAAGCTGCT